AGAAAGAAAGAAAGAAAGAAAGAAAGAAAGAAAGAAAGAAAGAAAGAAAGAAAGAAAGAAAGAAAGAAAGAAAGGGAAGGAAGACAGACTATGGGCTTTATAAGAATCATCATATTATAAAATAACTATATTATCATTACTCAATGAGGTAGCCAAACAGAAATGATTAAATGCAGGACTTTACTTCTTATTTTATACTTTAACATAGAACAGGTCACTGAAAAGGACAAACTTCCCAAAGAGAACTTAAATGGAGCATGCATCCTATATTTAATTGCATGGACATATTCAGCAACAGTGGATATTGCATTCATCTCCCTCCTATAAGTTGTTAAGTAGATATGGAACAAGTACAGACTGTATGACTTCTTTTGGAAAATAGGGCCTCGTTTTGTAGATTAGGATGGCTTTAAACTCATGGTTTTTCTGCTTCAGTCTCCCTAAGGCTGGGATTGCAGGAGTACACTATTACTTTCCTATGTGACTTTCTAATATTTTAAATTATGACAAGGTTTAAAAACCAAAAGAAATGACCCATGTGTCCATTTTAAAATCTGGTTAATTAAGATCCTTGGAGACACTGTTTTGCTGACAAAAGAGGCAGTTATATGTCTCAGACATGGTTTTCTGGCATCAGTGTTGATGCCCTACTAGACTGGGGGGGATTCCGATGCTAAATCTTGACAAATAATATCCTCTCATCTGTTATCAGATGTCAAAGATGTTCTCAGAGTGTAAGACCTGCCCAGGATTTGCTCTGGTACCACTAAGCACTTGACTGAGACCTAAGGATTTCCTGTCACAGAAGATTTCGTGTGTGTGTGTGTGTGTGTGTGTGTGTGTGTGTGTGTGTGTGTGTGTGGGCTTAGAATCATTTGCTTAAATAAACTTTGGAGTAGAATCATAAATCAAATAAACAGCACAATGCAGAGCTGCTCTGAGCAGAGAAAGGATTAGGACTAAGTTAAGGAACACAGCTCTAAACTCAATCTCCAGGGGGAGGCCATGTTGACTTCTGAAGCTGTAATTAATATTTGTTCAAATGCAAAGTAATCTGGAGATATCAGAGAAGTAGGATTTAAAAGACAGAGACAGAAATTAGAGTCAGACTTAATGGAAAGTGGTAATTCTTTGTGTATTTCTTGATAAAATTCAGATCTAATATAGTACTTCTACCTCATTAGATTCACAAAGGAGTTACATGTGTAACACTGGTGCCCAGGCAGGGTCTGTGTAACATCTGATGCTGCAGTGAAACATCCTGCACCCCCTGGACTCCTGCAGTGTAGTGTTGTCTCTTACAGCTCCAGGATATCCCATACCAGAGCATTCTCATGTTCCTTCCACATAACAATGTGTGTGTATACACATGTGTATGCATGTGTGTATGAGTGTATGCACATGTATATGCATGTGTATGTGAATGTATTTGTGTGCATATGTATATATGGACATGTGTACATGCTTCTGTGTAAATATGTGTGTCTTTGTAGAAGTGAGGATTCATGTGTATATCCATACATATGTATGTGCTTGTGTTTATGCATGTTTATGTATACGTGCTCATGTTCATGCAGACATGCATGGCATGTATGTATATGTTTGGGAAACCAGATTTGGTGGTTTTTGCATTTGACTCTTCCTACTTTTGTGGTGGTTGGAGGCAGGGATTATATACATATTCTTCTCTGTAGTCCCAGTACAACCCATCTCTAAATGTAGCAAAAATAGATAACTGTGAAATGAAAAAATGAGCAATGAAATAGTGTTGGCAGTGGGAGGATTTAGCATGTTAGGAGCCTCACTAAAGGACTTAAATTTTGGAGAATGGAGCAGGAGTTCACCAAGTACAAGAAATGTTCACCTCAGCAGTACCTGGGGAGGAGTTTCATGTTATGAAGCATTAGAGAGAGCTTAAAAGACCAAGTTAGAATTATACTCATACACTCACACATGCACCCACACACACACACATGCACACTTACATATTGTACACTGCTGTGGGCTGTTCTGTATGTCCTGTGGGAGCTCGTTCTTGGGTTCCTCGTGGCTTTACCCAGCAGGTCCACATAGAGGATGATTAGGACCACGGACCTGAGTGCAGGTGTTTGAGATGGTCTGCACTTGGCTGTGCTGGGGGATGGTCTGTATGGCAAATGTGTTGCTCTGATTGGTCAGTAAATAAACCTGATTGGTCGTGGCTAGGCAGGAAGTATAGGCGGGACTAACAGAGAGGAGAAATAAAAGAACAGGAAGGCAGAAGGAGTCACTGCCTGCAGCAGCCGCCAGGACAAGAAAGATGTAAAGTACCGGTAAGCCACAAGCCACATGGCAAGGTATAATTTAGAGAAATGAACTAATATAAGATATAAGAACAGTTAGCAAGAAGCCTGCCACGGCCATACAGTTTGTAAACAAAATAAGTCTCTGGGTTTACTTCGTTGGGTCTGAGTGGGACTGGCCGGTGAGAGAGATTTGTCCTGACTGTGGGCCAGGCAGGAAAACTCAAGCTACAGTACACATATGCACCTCAACTCATACACATGTATGAATACACACAGGTATACACACAAGCATGCATAAACACCCATTCATATATGTGCACACACAAGTACTCACTTACATAAGCATGTGTACTCAAATGCCATGCATAAATGAGTGAAAACACACATGCATGCACGTATACGGGCATGCACACACATTGTGGTGGCTTCAACATGAATGGCCCCCATAGGTTCATATGTTTGAATGCTTAGTCATCAGAGTACCAGTACTGTGAGAAGTGTGGCCTTGGAGTAAGTGTGTCACTGGGGACAGCTTTGGGGTTTCAAATGCTCAAGCCAGGCCCAGTGTCTCCCTCTTCCTGCTGCCTTTGGATTTGGATGTAGAATTCTCAGCTGCATGTCTGCCTGTGTATCACCATGCTCCCCACCATGAGGATGATAGACAAAACCTCTGAAACTGTAAGCAAGCCCAGATTAAATGCTTTCCTTTATAAGAGTTGCCATGGTCATTGTGTCTTGCCAAGCAAGAGAACATGACCAATACACACCTACATACCTATACATGCACAAACACAAGCACATACACATGTATGTATACACACATGAACCTCCACTCCCACACAGGCACACACGTTCATACAGAAGCATGTACACATCCATATATATACATGCACACACATGTATACATACATTTACAAATGCATGTGCACACACACCACTACATGAAAAAAGCAATATGGATAATGATACCAATGACAGAAACATTATAGCATGATACTATTTATGTTTTAACATTTTTCCAATATTATATACACATGTTTAAAAACACTGAGGTAGAAACAGAAGAATCACAGCGATGGGAGAAGATTAACAGTGCTGATCATGAGGACTTAAGCTTTATCAATAATGTTTTAATCTTTTTAAAAAGCACATTGCACTGTTGTGTTCTTTGGGCAGTTAGTAGGAAATTCAGGGTCCCAGCAGAAGCACAGCTGCCATGGTTAGTATGAATGTCTGACAGCGGCGCTTTCCTGTACAGTGCTGTTAATGGTGTACAGGTGCCAAAGGGCTGTTAAGAATGGTCAAATCCTGTAGAAGAGACCTGGAGTTCTACTCTAATTCAGAACTGAGCAGCAGGATGGCAGACAACAGTGTGTGGTGAGTGTGCAGACCATAGGGCACTGGTGAGTGCCTACCATTTGCCAGTAAGCCACAGAGTCAGACCGCATCCTCTGTGGGCAAACTAGCTTTAGTATGGGGGAGGGTGGGAAGGTGGGCGTGGGCTGGTGAAGGTAGTGGGGCCGTGATAGCAAAGCTTTCATAACTTCTTTCTCTTCAACAAAGACTGAGCTCGCCTCTTGCTGTCAGTAAAGAAGTTGTTCCTAAACTTTGCATCGCTGAAGCTCACCCACACAGTGAGATGTGCTGTCTTCCCCTCCCTCGGGAACATTGGCCTGCAATACCTCGGTGTCCAGCGGCCCTCAGTGCCTGACAGCTCTGACCTTATCAAACCCTTGTGCTGACTGCGGGGGACCTGAGCTCCCTTCCCTGAATCACGGCCTCCATGTAGTCTTCCTTGTGTCCTCCCTATGTAAACGTGGTTAATGCTTCCTGGCTGTAGTGGGTAGCACGCAAATAAGAATTTAACTGGTTATTCTTGAATTTCTTTTACAATAAACCAAATTTATAATCTTAAAAAAAAAAGAATGGTCAAACCTAGCTTCTCTGGAGCTGTGGGTTGTAGTCTGGTTATCTTTTGCTTTACATCTAGTATCCACTTATGAGTGGGTACATACCATGTTTGTCTTTCTGAGTCTAGGTTACCTCACTTAGAATGATATTTTCTAGTTCCATCCATTGTCTGCAAATTTCATGATGTTGTTGTTATTTACAGCTCAGCAGTATTCCATTGTGTAAATATATCACATTTTATTTATCCATTCTTCGGTTGAGGGGTGTCTAGGTTGTTTCCAGGTTCTGGCTATTATGAATAATGCTGCAAGGAGGAACCTAACTGTCATGATAGAGCCTTCATCCAGTAACTGATGGAAGCAGATGCAGAGATCCACAACCAAGCACCAGGATGAGCTTCAGGAGTCCAATTGAAGTGTGGGAAGAGTGATTATATGAGCAAGGAAGGTCAAGATCATGATGGGGAAATCTACAGAGACAACTGAATCAAGCTAGTGGGAACTCATGAACTTTAGACCCACAGTGGTGGAACCTGCACAGGACCAGACTAGAGCCTCTGCAGACGGGAGACAGTTGTGTAGCCAGGTCTGTTTGAGGGGCCCCTGGCAGTGGGATCAGGATCTATCCCTGGTGCATGAGCTGACTTTCTGGAGCCCATTACCTATGGTTGGACACCTTGCTCACCCTTGATGCAGGGAGGAGGGGCTTGGTCCTGCCTCAACTGAATGTACCAGGCTTAGCTGTCCCTGCATGGGAGGCCTTACCTTGTTGGAGGAGTGGAAGGGGATGGTTGGGGGGGGCGATGCGGGGAGCAGAAGGAGGGATGAGAGGGGGATCTGTGGTTGGTATGTAAAATGAGTAAAAAAGAATGGTCAAACGTGCTACACATGCCATCTTTCTACCTCCTCCTTACTTCAGTGCCATGGCTCTAACCATGATCATTTGTCTTCAGTGTTAGAATGACCTCCTGCTTGAGAAGAAATTGGGTGTAGAGTTTGGAAATGAAGTCCGATGAATTACGGCACATTTATTTTTAGGGTAATGGGGAAACTTCCAGAGTCAACTCTTTTTGAGAGCACATTAAACCAAATATGATGATTGGTGGATTATTAGCAAAAGAGCCCGATTGCTAATTACATAAATTATAGTCGGGGAGATTGTAGGGTGACTTTGTGGACTACAGAAGATAAAGCATTGCTGAACTTTAAAGACAGAAGATACAGCTTATGCAGTTGTTAGTAAACACACTTCTATCATTTCTCTTTATGAAACTCTATCAAGAAAAAAGTCGATTCTAAGTCAGTCTTATTTACACAATCAATTATTTTCACCAGTTGAAAGAAACATTTTCTTAATACAACAATTGCACTTATGTCCTGTTTCCATTGTGGCCTATCCATGACAGTTCTTCTCTAATTGAACAGTTTTCCAAATGCCCTTATTTCTGACAAGGGGTCAGTGTTTCAGGAAGTCAGACACTGCATGAATAAATCACTATATGTGTAATCAGTTATGAGCATGTATTCGTGGCATGTCCTTTTCTGAATGTCACTGCTCAAGCAGTGGCCAGCTGTATGCATTCTGCCTTAGTAATCTCCCACCAGTACCTAGCATAGGGCCTTGGCATGACAGGAACTCAGTAAGTTAGTGTATGAGCTAATGTACTTCAGGTAACTAATTCATGAATAATTAATACCTAAATTAAAATATTATACTATTATAAAACAATTACAAATGCTATGTAGTCTTGAGTGTTATAAATAATACATTTCAATTATATTATAGTATTTACTCAATCCTACCACATTGAATGTCTATACTATTGATGTTATCATATAGTAAAACATCAAATAATGAGAATGTAGCATAATTACTTATGATGACCAGTTCATACTGCAAAATATTTATTTACTGAATACCTAGTATTTTTCTGGCCACTGTGCACACAGAGTAAGCCAATAAGAAATGCTTCCTTCCCTGACAAGACCAGGTTGCTGGCCTGCACTAGCAGAATTGGTGGGTGTTCTTCTTCTGCATCTCTTTGATAGATGTTGTCTGATTCCTGCCTGTTTCCTGGTTCATGCTGACCCCGTCAGAGTCTTGGTAAAGGAGTGCAATCGTCTTTTCACCCAACTGGATTCTCTTAGCTTAGAGAAGCCGTTTCCCCTCACTCCTCCATCTCCTGAGTGTTTCCCCCTCTCCTCTTTCTTCCATGTAAAATCAGTTGTCCTAGGGACTGTCTCCCATTCTTAATGTGGGTGAGGAACCAATCAGAACACTCTCTCTGCACCTGGGGTGCCTTTTCTTCAGGGCTCTTCACCAAATGTGAGGCTAATGGGATGTACATCTTTCTATCACACATTTCGGTTTGCCCTGGCTTTATATTTTTAATATTCTTGTTTTAATATTCTTGTTTAGCTTTCTAGACGTTGCCTCACTTGACAAACATGTCTATGTTTCCTCTTATGAGAAAGGAAGCGCTGTGGTTGAGGGCTGAGACCTGGAGCACACCATCTGGGTTTGGATCCTGACTTTACCACTTCCTAACTGTCATGAAGGCAGCTTGATTCCCTCCTGAGTAAGGAGGGAGTAACAGCTTGACTCTGTGTGGGGATGAAGCTAGTCCAGTAGAGCCTATGACACTTAGTCACCAGAATGCAAGAAGCACTTTGCAATGCCAGAGTTGCTATTCACATCCTCGGTTCAGTTAACTGACCTGCCCTTCCCCTTCCGGTCCTGCTGCCTTATACACAGCCTTGAACTAACTCACAGTCCAGCTCTGTTGCGATTTCTACCAGCCCCTAAAGTCTTGGTTATCTCTCATTTCCAGAAACTTCTACCTTCCATCTACTCACTTGGATTTGCTCACTGATTCCCAGTTCACCCAAATGCTACTTAACTCTCTGTCTTCCCCGAGTGTATGCAGAGCTCTCCTCAGGGCTTAGAAACTTCTTTGCCATTTAGCCAACTGATGTCCACATGTTCCCTGAAGCCTCCCTTTATTATTCTAGAACCTACAAATCCCAGCTCACAGGCAAGCAAGACGGCTCAGTATTTAAAGGGCTGGGCGTGCAAGCCTGACTGTAAGTTTGATCTTCAGAACCCATGTAAAAGTAGGAGCAGAGAACTGACTTCACAAGTGGTCCTCTGATACACACACAAAGTTGAAAAAGAAACAGAAAAGATCACAGTTCTCAAGCCCCTCCCCACTGCTCCCACAGGAAACCATATAAATCTGCTAAACTTCGTGAGTATTTATCCGGATGCTTAATGAGAACCTTTATTGCAATGTCTTATTTTTTTAATATGGACCCTTCAGCTACATTATAAACTTCTTAACGGTGAAACCACCACCAAAGGGACCCTTTGAATAACATATGTATAAATTCATTTAATCTGCATCTTAAAAATTATCTGTCCTTATTCTGTGTTCAAGACAGAGGGAAATGAAGTCATAGAAGAGAACCTTTAGCATAAATCTAAATATAGAAAGCACATAATAATTGCTACATGCATGGGTTACCCACAGAGTATTACAACTTTGCTCTAACTTCATGAATGATTTATAAATATCTACTTTTGCTGAATAAGGTGCTTCATTTTTGCTACTTCATTAGAAAATAGCGTCGTCTGAAAGGAAACGGGCATACTGCTGCAGGCAATGACAGTTAGGTGGTCCTCATTCTGTGCATGTACTTGGGGGAGAGACTTCTGCAAAGCAAAAGCACGTGTTGTGGATACTGTCTAACTTAAAGCATTCATGTATATCCACACTGAGAATAACCTAATAAAAGAGTGTGTCTTTGAGACTCGCTTATCCATAAAACAGGAATAGGCTAGAATAATTGGCCTTTGGAGGATCCAAAAAGGGCTGCTCGATTATAAATTCATGCTACTCTAAGGATACTATAGAATACAGGGAATGCTAACATGGAAGAAACTCAAGGCTCCACCTACAAGTCTGGAAGGTAAGGTGCTCTTGCTCACCCCAGATGTGCTGTTGTGTGGTGCCACAGAGGGTCCTTGAAGCTGAATGCATTCAATATCATTTAAATAATTTATGTATTTTCATGCAGAGACCCTCCGGAAGCTCCTAAGTTACTAATGCTCCAATTCCTCCTTCCCCCACTAATGCTCGTAAGTGGGGGCGCTGTTAAAACTCAGACCCCCTCCCCCAGGAAGCAGAGGGACCACACAGGAGGCCAGACAGCCTTGGCCCACGCGTAACAGCACTGTGTCAGCTTGTTAGAAAATACATTTATCTCCTGCATCAAAATGTGACACGATCATTAAATGTATTCTTACCTTCAAAGGCAAACATGTTTGACTTGGCGTTTACTGAGGTGGAAGAAATTTTAAAATGTTTCTATGGAAGGTAACTAAAAGGTTCTTTTAAAATGTGCAAGTTTTACTTAAAGGAGATACTCCTGGGAAAACTGTTACTGTGACGTCAGGTTGTGTCCATTTATTCCAAGCAATTATGTCCTGATATACACATAAGGCTATGCTAAACAAAAAACAAACCAAACTTTTGTTTAGAATTATTATGCACATATTGTATCAATATGTATTTACAGAAAAGACAGAGAATTTGCAATTGTATCATATGTTCTCCTATGTGTATATATATGTCATGTATTTGTAACCATACTCTGAACATGTAATATAACTTTCATTACTATAATTTTTCTTTTGGTAAAAAACCTGGTGTTTTGTCTATGCAGTAGATACATATGAACATGTCACTAGAGTAAAATGATGTATTGAAAAGAAGGGAATCGCTGAATGTCAGCACAGTCCTCAATGTCAGGACTGGGATGTCCTGTTGGAAGTATGAGTCATAGAGTATGAAGTCATAATAGCCAAACACATTCACTCTTGGGTATTGTAGGCAACACATAGTGTTAAAATGGCATCGCATTTTAAGGTGTAGAGAAATGTCACCATTCTTAGAAATAAGGAATAATTAACATGTATAGAGTATTGGGCACCCTCGTGACAATGACCTGGAGGAAGAATGAGGAAGAAGCTTCCTACCTTCCATCGCCCTCTTGAAGAAGACCTTGCAGCTGCCACAGGTGAGCACTCCATAGTGACAGCCAGATGCTTCGTCCCCACAGATTAAACAGATCTTCTGAGGTAAGGAATCAAAGCCATACTGTGGGCTCTGGCTGGCTTCTGAATCTGGCCTTGAAATGCAAAACAGGCTCCATTTAGTTTTAGGGTCACTGCCGTCTGGTAAAGAAAGCTTTCTTAAACCAGCATTGATGACACCAAAGATTTTTTTTTTACATAGAGCCAAATTATTTATTTATGGCTTTGGCTTATGTTTCAGTTTTTTGATAAAAGTCTCCTACAGCCAAGTTGGCTTTAAACTTGCTACATACCAGAAACTTGTCTTGAACTCATGAACTTTCAGCCTCCAGCTTCTAAGTGCTGGGAACAGAGGCATTTGCCACCATTTCCAGTTTATGAGGTTCTGGAAATAGAGCTCTGGTCTTAGTATATGATAGATAAGCAACCTTTCTAGGAACTGGGCCACATCCTCAGTTTCCCAGGAAAACACACACACACACACACACACACACACACACACACACACATACACACACACACACACACACACACACACACACACATTTCAAAGTCAGGTGAACTAAACTTGCTACTTCATATCATAAACTACCTATAATGGATTCGTTGAACATGCAAATTATTAGCCATTCATTAATAGTAATAAAAGAAGAGCCAGTGTGTCCTTTCACGTTCAAAACAGCTAGAAACTCTCATTTGAAAAGAGCTCCTCATACAGAAGTGATTTTGCCTTTGGCAGATGAAATATGACATCCTTCCTGAGTGCTGGGTCATAACAAGCACGGCTGAACCTTGGGAGTTTAACTGGACTCAGCAGTGGTTCCGTTTTGAGAACACAGCCCTGCAAGGATTGATTGCTCCAACATATAAATATAGATGTTATTTTAAGGTATTTGTTAACACACTATTTTGCCTAGTCACAGCATGAGAGACTATAAACCGAGCATTCTTTTCTTTTTAGTTTCATTACTCCAGTATGTGAAGTTAAATGCTTTTGAAAACACATATGAGAAAAATAGGGGTGTCTGAAGCAGTAGGAGGATGCTGTATTCTGGCTGCACTGCCCTTGAGTTTAAACCCACCCGGCAAACACCTCCCTCATACAGTTTACTTCACTCTTGAGATTTCTAGGAAAATTGGGCCAGAGGCCTGGCCAGATCCTTGGGTGTTTCTGCTTTCAGTTCTGAAGTCACATTTAGGCCCCACCCCTCCCAGAGGAACTGTGTCTTTGCACCTCAACCTCTCCAGCACACGCACCCTGGGTCCCTGTCCTTCTTACCAAGTATTTATTGAATTCAATGAAGCCCCCAACCCACTAGACGACATCCCGGCACCCTTATCCTCGGGACAATCAAAGGTCCTAGAGTGACACCACACAAGTTTTGGACCAGAATGGTCCTGCTTCCGAAGTTTTCTGACAGTGTTTGGGGATGGTGGTGGTGGAGGGTCCTCAACAAAGCTATCTGCACCTCTTCTATGTCCCCTGAAAACGTAAGAAGAAGAAGGGAGCACCGGAGAGAGGGGTCTCCAAGGCCTAGCCCTCCCTCAGCCACCCTGCTACCTTGAGCTGCTGGAGGGGTGGAGCAGGGCAGGGCCTGAGGCAGGTGCTCACCTCAGGTAGTTGAGATAGGGCTGGTAGACCTGGGGCAGGCCGTCCTTGAGCACTGCGGCCTGGTAGCCCAGCTGCGGGAGCCCGTTGAAGCCGAGCGGCGGGTAGATGGCGGGGGCTGCCGAGGCGGCAGGGGCGGCGGGCAGGCCGTCCCTCGGGAGCAGGCAAGAACCGGAGGCCGAGGGCTTGCAGGACAGCGGCGGGAACGGGCCTTGCGTGGGCGGCGCGCCCTCCGCTTTGTACAGGATGCACTCCAGCGCCGACCCCGAAGAGGACGCGGGCGACACTGCGGAGCTGCCCGGGCCGCCGGCCACCGCCGCCTCGCCGGGCCTGGAGGAGGGAGCTCGCGGCGGCGCCGGCGCCAGCGGGAAATCTGGAAAGGTGGCGGCGCTGCCTCCGGCCACCAGGTAAGGGCGCGGCGAGCGCGCAGCTGCCTCGGCGCCTTCCTCCTCCTCCTTGATCTTCAAGCCTGGCGGCTGGAAATCGCCGTAGAGAGGGAACGCGTCCTCTTTGGGGTCGCCGTCCTGCGGGTAGGTGCAGTCTGGGAAGTCGCCGCAGGGCACCGGCGGGGATGGCGAGCCTCGAGGCGGGGCAAACGAGCCCTGGGCTGAGGCCCCGCCGTCGTAGCTGTCCCCCTCCAGCAGCTGCCGGGTGCGGGCGGCCAGGAGCGCGTGGTTGAGAGGCAGGATGGGCACGTGGATGAAATCCACCACTGTGGTGGGCAGTGGGGAGCGCCCGGGCGCCACCGGAGCGTCTTGCTCCAAGGAGACCCTGGGAGCAGAAAATCGGGAGTCTTCCTTGGGAACCAGGGTGACGCCTCCTGGGGCCGCCGCGGGCGCGCTGGCTGCAACTCCTCCTCCTCCGCTGCTGGTGCCTTCCAGTGTTCGAGGTTTGCTCTTCAGAAGCGGACCCGCGGAGCCCTCAGTGTCTAGGCCACCGTTCTCCTCCACCTCCACCACAGATGGTTGTGGAGACGGCTTCACCCCTGCCCCGGGCCAATGGGCACTCCCTGAGGTCGGGAGCAGCAGCTGCCGGGGTGGTGACAGCCCCTTGGGCAGCACCTTCTGCCCTGCTCCTGTCCCGGAGCTGTCGCCAGCCTTGCTCTCTACCCGACTCATGAGCGGGGACAACAACTTGGTAGCAGGGACACTGCGGGGGTCTTCTGGAAGCTCTGATCCGAAAAGACACCAAGATGTGATGGCCTCGCAGGCTGGAGGGTTGCCGTGGCTCTGCTCGGTCCCCGAGGGCGCCAGCAGCGTGTCTAAGACACTGTCTAAGAGTCTGCTGTCCTTCTCCGGGGCTCTGGGATTGCTGCCTCCTGCCCCACGAGTGGCTTCAGCTCCAGAGAAGGCTCCCTCCACGTCCGACAGCGACTGCTGGTTCTGTGCCTTTTCTCCCGGGAGCTCCGGACCCTGGCAGGACCGAGGGAAGAGCAGCCTGTCTTGCAGGGAGATGGATATAGGCGAGCCTACAGACGATGTGTCCGACGGCTGGCTTCTCTGGAAGGGACAGGGGTCCAAGCGTCCAAGCAAGGGGGACCCGACGTGGGTGGGGGAGGGCGCGGCTCCCGACGCGTGGGGTGCCCGCGGATCCTTTGCCTGCAGCTCAGTCATGACGACCTGAGCTCCCCTTTTCTCCTCCCCTGTCTCCAGGGAGGAGGGAAAAAGGAAGGAGGAGGGGGTGCTGGTGATATAGGGGCAGAAGGAGGGGGAAGTGGGTGTTGAATCGCAGGACCCGTGGGATCTCCACCTCCCGGTCGGGAGGGGCGGTGCTGGTCAGCTCCCGTCCTTACCCTCCACCCAGACTCAAAGGAAGGGTGGCAGAGGGTGGCAGTCGCGCTGTCCCGGCGGTGGGTGAGAGTAGGAAGAAGTAGCTAGAGTAACTGGAGGAGTTCGTCAAAAGACTTTTCTGTGTTTGTCCGGGTGCTCACGCGTCCCGCGCTGGAGTGTCCGGTGCTGTGAAAAGGCTCCGGCTACCCACGGACCTGTTCCTTGGTAGAAACCCCGGCATCTAGGAAGTCTGCATCACAGTCCTCGCTAACACCCTGGGCTGGCTGCAGCCCATTCCAAGTCATTTTCCTGCAGCGGCAGCTTCTAACGCTCCCTGGGTTCTCTCCAGTCTCAGCAGGCGCTGATTTCAGGTTTCTTAAGCCCGAGGGAAGCAAGTTCTCTTTGGGCTTGCAGAATCCTCACTTTCGCAAATACTGCGAAGCCTAACTGATAGTGACAGTCTAGACTAGCTCCATAGCTTTCTAGCAAGCCTCGCGCTCTAGGAAGGCCCGCCCAAAGCCCCTCCCTAGCCAATCACCAGCTAGATCCCAAACGCCGGAGTTGGCATTCCTGCCACCCACTAGTCTGAGTTCCACTGGGAACATCAAGTGTTCTAGGAAGAAACCTCCTAAGCATATCAGATTTTATGCTATCAATTAAGTATGCTGGGCCCAGTGGGTAGAAAAAAAAATCCTATCAAAAGCAAAATTGTAAGGATTTCAGGATTTGAAATTTGTAAAGATTCTATTTATCTTTTAAAATAAACATATAGAAGATGATCCCAAATATGTTAACTTTTACTAATGTGTATGTCTCTGAGTGTACGCCACATTGTGCTCAGAGGCCAGAAGAGAGGGTGGGGGCCCTCCGAGGCAGAGTTGCAGGTGGTTGTGAGGGGTCTGATGTGGGTGCTGAGAGCCAAACAAGAACCCTCCGAAAGAGCAGCGAGTGCTCTCGTGTGTGTGTGTGTGTGTGTGTGTGTGTGTGTGTGTGTGTGTGTGTGTGTATTACTGGTTGCCTGTCTAACCTACTCCTAAATTAGGAAACACATTCAGATTATTTTTGTGATAAGTGGGTCACACTCTTTTTGAGGGCCACCTACGTGACTTAGCAGTTGAGGCGCAGAAGGCCGTTGGTAACACATCTCTACCTGTGTGGGGAGTTTGGATGTTGAGTGTCATAACTGGCTTGTCCTATGGAACCTCTGCATTTTCACAAGGTTCCCTTCAGCCCTAACTAAATACCCTGCATCAGATCTGAAGATCTCCAGTGGGGAGGCTAAACAGTATTTTCTCCTCTCAATGTTTCTACTCTTAAAATAATTTTCCCTGAGCTTTAAAAATAAATCACTATTAAATTCATGAGAACACTGTGGAGGAGAGTGACTTATGTGATATATTTCATACACAGTCATAATACACATACATAATAATTTACATGCTCAACCCAAGATTGGTGGACATCCTGACACGGTCTTATATGCCTTATTCAAAACTGAGCTAGTCATTTGAAAAATTCCCTTGAGTGTGTCCAGGTCCTAGTTATGCTGATGCCTTGCAGTTATTCTCACCCAGGTCTAGAAGATACGTGCAAGACACCAAAACTTCAGGGCAGGTGGGGCTGCTGGAGGCAGGGAGCCTGAAGGCCTGAATCACCAGGGAGGTACTACATATGAGAAGTGAATCTCTGTTGCACTGAACCACTGGGTTTGGGCGTTGACTCTTCCAGCAATGAGTTATCGCTGACTAATTCAGATGTGAGAGAATTGGGGAGGTAGAAGAGAATTCAAGGAAGGAGTTATTGTATGTCCTTAAGGCATCAAATGGTAAAATGGAGTGTGGGAACTGCAGGGGGCATCAGGGCAGCACGTGGAATAAGTGTGGGAAGGAAGAAATGAGGCTGGCAGGTGGGCCCTACATGTGCATATGTATGTGTGTGTGTGTGTGTGTGTGTACGTATGTAGGTATTTATATATAATGTGTATGGGGAGCCTTGACTACAGACTAAGTGAGACACAGAACTTCTGCCTCAAAGGTGTACTCATGCTCTTTAAAATCCCTTCATCATTTTTCATCTCTGCCTTGGGGTGTCACTGCCCACCCCGCTAACTAGTGATCTGCCTCTGTGTGTTAGGGCTTCTAAAGAGCTCTGCCTGGTTTACTGTTGTATTAAATTATTCTCCATCTTAGATATCAGTGCTTTTAAGATTTTTATTAATAGGCCTTACTTTTTGGAATATTTGTATATTTATTGAAAATCTAGCAGAGAATAAAGAGTGTGCAGCCTCCGATAAAGAATGCATGTGGCCGTTAGTGAACAGCTGACTAGTGCCCAGGGCGTAGGCAGTTTTCCTTTAATCTCCATTTTCTTTCCCAAGATCCCACCAGGACACCTTGTTTCTTTGTTGTAGCAGCTTCCCGGGCTCCTCTGGGCTATGATGGCTTCTCTTCTCTTGTACTTCATGACCTTGGTAGTCCTGAGAACTCTTCTAGGATGACATTCTCTAGGTAGTCAAGGCTCATGGGTTTGGCAAAGAAAGTCAGTGTTGGAAGTGCTGTTTTCACTACCTTGAGTCAGGTTCACAGTGAACAGGACTTGAAAGCTTTATGTGTAATTCTGCATGGGGAGCACCCTTTACCCTCATTGCTACTTTATTCTGTCTTTGGTATGTACCACTATGGATACATTTTGTTCCTCAAGTTTCTTCAGCTTTGTGGACTGGGGCTCCTTCAGCTACCCTTTTGTCAGTTGATGTATTTCACTCTTATGTGTGGTCAAGATGGGTGGGCACGGAGCAGAGTGCTCTGAACACTTTTTGGCTTTCTGGTATTACAAGCTTCTCCAGACATGTTTTCCATACTATCTATACCTTCCTAAAATAAGCCATTTCTATGGAAGTTCACCTATTTATTTGAAAAATATATGGTATTATAAACAAAGACTTTTATTCTAGCTTATATAATGTGATCTACATTAGATTTTTATCTCTTCTTAGACTTTTTTGTATAATACTTTGATTTTCAACTCTATTATAGCATTATCAATAATTTGCTCTCTGTTGCTAGGTAGAAATCCAATGATTGACTATACTATGGTGTATTTGCATATGCACCTGGTGATAAACAGTTGTATGATTTATAAGTTTTGCTAGAAATTGCCTAACAAATGTGTATACAAGTCTTGTATACATATCTTAGATAAATGTTTAGAAATAAAATGGCTAGAACTATTCATATGTTCTGTGGTCTGCTTCTGATCTCCACAGAAGTCATACACTGACTCTGTATTGCCAGCGTAAAAATCCTTTGAGGTGAGGCTGTTGGGAGAGCAATATGCTGTGGCCAGCTGCCTAGTCCCTCTTACCCCATGGGGACACAGTGAGAAGTACCGTCTGTGAACCAGAAAGATTATTACCAGAAATTGGGTCTGCCACTTTGATGATACCCTGATTAGTGTTATAAATTCCTGTTGCATCTCAGCTACACAGTGAGTGCACAGTGTTTTGTGATAGCAGACCCAAGGACCAACATAATAGGTGTACACAGAACTGTCAACTCACCTCCCACAGTGGCTGTGCCATTTCCCATTCTCCTTAGGGTGCTAGAATTCTAATTACAATGTAACCTGAAAAACAGCTGGTGAATATTTGTAATTCCAAAAAATATAAGAAGTGTGTGATGAGATCTGAGTGGGGTTCTGGTTTTTCATTCCCTGTGTTTGTTTTCTGGGTATCTTCTTCCACATATCTCTGGGTCTGATCACATTGTTTATTGTCTTTTAAAAAATTATCTGCTTACAATGCTGAGACTAAGTGACAGATTTCCAGCATGGAATGGGGAGGGCCTCCTAAGACTCAGTCCTAGCTAGGGCCTGTTAGCAGTTGGCAGCTGCCGGGTAAAGGCCAGTCATTTGGGGTGGGTGTATGTCCATTTATAGGTTGCTCATGATCCCGTGGGTGGCCTCACACTCACATACTTTTGGGCAGCACCAACTGAACTCACTGCATATAAACCCGAAGAAAAGACCATGACGGGAAGAGGGGAGTTTGTTGGAGGTAACCAGGGAGAGTAAGAGGGGTTTGAGAGGAAAGCTGGGATGAGTATAGATATGATCAAGTACATTGTATACATGTACAGACTTGTCATAGGAGAAATAATATATTATTGAAGAAACATCTGCTAATATAATTTTTAGTCCTTTGATGTGTATGAGACTGGGAAATACTACCTCCAAGCACATTCATGTTTAAACTCTCCTAACAGTGTCTATTGGACATTTCCTTGTTTCTAGTTGTGGTAGGAGGGCCCAGCTCACTCTAGGAGGTACCATCCTTAGGCAGGTGAGCCTGGCCTGTGTAAGAAATGTAGGTGAGCACAAGCTCAGCACAAGCCAGTAAGCAGCATTGGTCTGTGGTTTCTGATTCAGTCCCTGCCTTGGTTAGGCTCAGTGATGGAGTACAACCCTTAGATGTACCAGCTCTTGGGTCAGTGTGTACGACAGCAACAGAGGAGCACACTAGGACTGTCATTTAGAGGTGGGTCTTCTCGTAGGTATTTTTATGTGTCTTGTGAATTGAGGTCACTCCATGATTCTGTCATTTTCTGTGGACTCCTAACACACCAGGTTTTCTGCAAGGCTTTGCTACCAGCTTTGCTTTTAACGGCATTTGTGTAAACTTTGGAGGTACTTTCTCTGTCTTCTGCCTTTCTTGAAAATTAATTTTCATTGTTATTTCATCCTTTTATTCTCTTCCACATGATCTTTTGAACTAGTGGCATGATTCATAGCCAATCTGAAACTAGCATCTTGATGGGAGTTATAACATCATTACAGCCTTTCTTTTCCTTGTTATATGGCTAGTTATTTAAATGTGTTAAGCCAGGCTTTACTTAATGCCCAAGTAGATTAGTTAATGTCTGTTAAGATGCTATAGGAGCATACCATTGAAAGGTTGAAATTGGTATTTGTCTCTCTCTCATACAAAGAGAGAGAGAGAGAGAGAGAGAGAGAGAGAGAGAGAGAGAGAGAGAGAGAGAGAGAGAGAGATCTGCAATCCAGGAAGCAAAGTCTCCTAATAACCCAGCCCTAGGACCATGACCCTGGACTTGTAACCTCTAAAAACTGTGAGAGACACAAGAACTGTGGGGAAATCATCTGCTTAGAGGTATTTTGCTATAATAACCCAAACAGTGCTCACTCTAGATTATAATCTGCTAATAATAATGAAATTAACAATGATCCAAGTCCATGTCTTCCTATAAGAGAAGTCGAAGGATTCATTTTGAGTTTATAGGGAGTTTCCAGAAGCAAAAATATAAACCTCCTCTTCAGCTATACTCTTATATCCTTGCATTGAGTAGATTTACAAATATTTGTTTCCATATAGCAATAAAACAGCTCCATCATGCATATGGTTATTTAGCATTTGTAGCAAATTGCCATGGACAGAAATCCTGTGTAC